CTGGCTGCGTGTGCTCGTCACAGCCGCTCGGTGCAATCACCTCCTCCTCCCCCTTCATCCCACAGCAGCTAAAACAGCCAGAAAACCTGACACTGACCCAATACGTAAGTCGCTAAATACATGCAGTCTCTGCATGCCAGGAAAACTGCAGGACAATAAACCCTGAAGGTTTACGGGTTATAGACATGCAGATTAAAAAAAAAAAGAAGCTAATAACAATGATTATACAGGTAAGTATGGTACTATGAGCTCTGAATGACCACCAGGGGCGGTGCTTGAAAAGCACGTAATAATCCTTTCGCGCACGCGCAGGTCGAGAATGCCTACCAACATACATTAGAGACCCTAGGGTCACCCTGAGCGTGTATAAAAGCCTGGAAGACAGCCCCTCAGAACCGACTCGTGCGAACACAAGGATTGCCAGTGATGTGACAATCTGGCGGGCATTCGGGACTCATAGAACCGTAGTTACATACGTAACCGGCGTTCTATAAACGTGCCTTCTGCCCGCTGGGGGCCATGCTTGAAAAGCATGGAATGACTCATACCAGCGAAGACACAAGGAAACCACATAAACCTCCCTGAGAGCCAAGACCAGGCCCTCAGGATGGAGACGGCTAACTGGAGAAAGTGCCAGGCGACCACTAGGAGGCAGCAACACAAATGTCCACGAAGGGCACACTCTCCAGAGCAACCCAAGACGTGGCAACATTCCGTTCAATGCTTTTCAAACACCGCCAGTGGCTGTCAAAAAAAGCGCCATCATTTCATTATCTTGTATATAATGGGTGTAATTCCACTGTCGACCACTAGATGGTGGCACACATATTTAGCCAAATACTATCTTCCTGAGAACGTACGTGAGAAAGTTATTCTCACGTACAAGTCACAACACAAGTCTCTGTAAATTGGAATGCGACTGATATATTGACATGATAGCAGCACGAAATGCATCCTGTGATATGTTTAGAGTCAAACCTTCACAAGCATCTAACCAAATCTGACGCATTAAAACAAACTGGATGCAAAGTGAGCACAGTTACATTACAAGATGATCCTACCTGGTGAAGTGAAGCAGCTGAGGACAGTTCAACTGTTTGTCCTAATTGACAACACGGAGCACAAAACACACATCCTCTTCCTTCCGGGGCTGGTGAGGGACTCTGAGAAAGTTGAGGAAAACAACCCCTCGACAGTTGCGATGCAGAGGTATCAACTAACCTGTCTGCTCAGGGTAACGGTCTCTTCTTCTTGAATCTTCTTGAATTATTTACCTGTGTGTACAGTGTTTTTTTTTTTGTGTGTGTGAGATGAATACGATGTGGTTGTTTGCACTCTTTTTGAAACAAGCTAATTCATGAACTATGATTAATATACATTGGGTTATTTTCATCTCACAGATTACTGTAAATGACTGGCTATGAAGAAGGTACAAAACAAAACATTCCTGTGCCAGGACAATCTTTTCCATTGGAAATAATGCAAATAGGAACAATCCGTTCTAGGGTTAACTGCCATCACTAAAAGATCTCCATGAACTTCCTAGGCAATGTTTTAAGTGAGTGGTCCGCAACCGGTTTGACGAAATGACGTCTTTTGACTGACCGGTATTAAGCCGTAAAAACAAGTATTTGTTGTAATAATAAATAAACATTCTTGTCACTCCCCCTCCACCCCCTCCAAAAAAAAAAAAAACATGTTCACCACTATAAAACAAGCATACACAAAAACCATCATCGTTCTTGCTTGCAGCCCTGTTTCCTCTTTGCTGATTAATTTGACACTAGTAAGAATGATGAAAATTGAGCAAAATCTTAAAACAAAAAACCGGCGTTCATCCCTTCCCCTGCAGACGCTCTCAAAGTCCATCTGTAGTCCAGAGTATCACAGCGCAATGCAGTTATTTTCATTTAAAAGGGACTAAAAACACAGACAGAGGGCGCAGTGGCCCCCGGGGACTGAGGATGCCATTCGGCTCAGTGCAGAGCCCTGTACACCTCATTTAATCTGCGTCTCAAACAAAATATGTTAACACACAGGATATGCAATGACTATGTAAGTGCGACATATTAAGATACAGTGAACCAATGTTTCCCAACCTTCATTGCACCAAGGCACCTATATGTATGTATGTATGTATGTATGTATGTATGTATGTATGTATGTATGTATGTATGTATGTATGTATGTATGTATGTATGTATGTATGTATGTATGTATTTTTTTATCATGATAAAAATCTCACAGCACACCATCAAGTAAAAATGTCAACAGTAATATATGTATAGTAAAATGAAGATGATCAATTTACATCCAAATTGACTTCTTCAATGTGACTTTTGGACCTGTTCAGTTGAACTAATAATTGATATACTGGTCATGAATTATTCTGTTGTGACTAGCAACAGGTGGCTATGAGTTTAATGTACCTTCTGTTGTCTAATTAAAAAAAAAAAAAAAAATCATTAAATTGTTCTCCTTGTCCCTAAACATTGCTGGCATAGATAGATGAAGAAAGATATATTATTCGCTTAAATAAGTGAAGCTGATGATCAAAAACTGCACTCTAATGTGTCATGGCACAGTGTTTGGCAGTCACTGAACGAGACTATTTCTTGGTTGAGTTTGGTGATCATATAAAAATAATTACAGTGTGTTGGGTCAATAAGAATGTACAATAAATTGAGTTTACACAGGCATTTCTCAGTGAACAGTTGCTCTCTATGGTTCTCTGTCGCTCTGTGAAAAGCACTTATGCCTCACTCTTTGACCTTTCCGCAACAACAAATCCATACGAGGTTCCACACATGTGACCCATTTTGTAGGTAGTATTCCCTTTTAATCTCATGCAAAATTTCTCGAAACACTCGCACACTACACTACAAATACAACTTGCTTAAAAATCCCCAAACTCGCTGTGACTGCCGTGTATATAAAACCTGGCTACATTGCAGCAGATTCCTGCGCACTGAAGCGACAATCAGTGGTCGTGCACGTGTGTGTGTGTGTGTGTGTGTGTGTGTGTGTGTGTGTGTGTGTGTGTGTTTTGGCGGAGCAGCTTGAAGGAAAGCAGTAGTGATGGAGCCTGAAAGCCCTGCAGCGCAGCTGTTCTCCCAGTGCATCGTCAACTTTGCTGCTGAGCTCAGAGCACACTCTCAGCCGTCATCGGTGTGCGCACTCTCTTCTCTCCTCTGCCTCAATCTTCCTCTCCATTTGTCACCACCCCCTTTTGTTTCAAAGGAATCCAAATCGGTGTAACAGTGAACCATTGCGAGGGATAGGCCTATTTTCCAGATTCCCTGGCAAGAGGGGGTAATCAGGGATTTAGAGAGACAATATATTTTTAACCCCCCCAACCGTAGTTAGTTTTTATTTCACTGGAGTTTTTTTATTTTTATTTTGTTAGTTTTAAATCAGTATGCAGTTTTCTGTATTATAGCAGAATGCCCACTGAATTGTATAATGATGCACAAACTATTTAAATCTTTGCATTCCATTAAATAGAAAATAGAATAGATTGCAGAGGTTGTGGGTTCGATTATTTATCTCTGTGTGCCCTGCGATTGGCTCGCAGGGTGTGCTGGAGCCTATCCCAGCTGTCTTCGGGCAGTAGGCGGGGACACCCTGAACCGGTTGCCCGCCAATTGCAGGGCACACAGAGACGAACAACCATCCGCATTCACACTCATACCTAGGAACAATATAGAGTGTCTGATCAGCCTGACATGCATGTTTTTGGAATGTGGGAGGAAACCGGAGTACCACAAGAAAACCCACGCAGGCATGGGGAGAACATGCCAACTCCACACAGGAAGTCCGGAGCTGGAATCGAACCTGGTACCGCTGCACTGTGAGGTCGACGCGCTAACCACTCGATCACCGGGCCGCCGTCTTGAAAACATTTTCACTTTAAATTATATCTCCACATATCTCTTCACGCCTCCCTTCTCACATGTGCCCTCAACCTAACAAAGACCCCAATCATCCAATCCATCAGTGAATGGCCAAGTGCTAGAGAGCTCTGATGATTATTTCGTCCTAAGTCCCCTACGCACTATCAGGCTGGTTGGCCCTCTGAGTGACAGATAGCTCTCCGATTGAAGGGCAAGTGCTAAGTCATCATGAGGACTACAGAGCAATTGAAGGGAAATGGAGTGATAAGAGCACGTGTAGTTGGCTGAGGCCCGAAGGACCAACTGGCATTCAAGAAACACATGCATTTGTGTGGGGGATTTTATCAGTCAGGGATGGCAAGGCCTTCTCTGAGGCCTAAACACAGTTAGATGGACTGACCTACATTCACAATCTTAATTCTAATATCAGTTCCATCAAATTGTAATAATTAATTCCCAGTACTCTATTCTCTTCATTTCTTAGCGTTTCTCTTAGCTACACTGCTTTTAGTTTATGAATGTGGATGTTACATGATTTGTTGTTTTTCAAATTTCAGCCTCTGCTGCCATGCCAATCAAATCTGCCCATGGCCTTAAGAATTAATTGAGCTTTCTGATGTAACTTAAACTGTATTAGCAATGGAACCATTTCTTGAAGCAATTAGATGTCAAATTTGCCTCAGTCAAATGAAAAGCCTTTGACTTGGCGAGTGTGTGAATGGGAGGGCTCTCCATTTGCCTATCCGATTGTCCATACAAATTTATATTTAATAGCCTCAAATTAGCATTTTGTGCACACGTTACCGTAAAATGTTTCCACACACCAAAAAAATCCTATTTTCAATTTTGTGCACCTCCAAAGGTTTTTTCACACCCCTCCATACGAGGCATTTGTATGTGGCCACAATCAGCTGTAAGAATTTCTTTTTAGTCGTATTATTTTATCAGAGTTATATTAAGACATTGTATCAAAAGTGGCTGCTCCGCTCTTCTTTTTCTGCCAGAGATTAAAAATAGAAACGCTCATGCTCTTTGGATGTACTTACCCTCCAGGAAGTGTGCGGCTGCAAGGCTCTCCGATTGGCTACAAATGGTCACGTGGCGTCACCTCCGGTGGCTTCTATTGGCTGGCACCTGTGGGCCACTGTGAGGCAAAGCTTTTATGACAGCAGCCAGGAGCCCAGGAGTTGCAGGAAACTGGGAGAAGGACATTGTCGGTGGGAGCGCCCGAGCAGTGGGCGGCCGGGTTGAAGAGATGGCACGGCCCCGGCGTAGGGCTCGCAGGTGGCTTTCTCGCGATGCGACCTCAGCAAACCGGAACAATGATAACATGGACGGAAAGAGGAGAGGAAAATTGAGCCAAGGCCAGGAGAGGGTTGGATAGAAAACACGTCACACATACTTTCAAATAACTCCGAAATCACGCTATGAATACAATCAAAGTGATATCCAGTAAATCCACCGTTCGCTTAGCATCAATCTAATTTATGCAAATTTTATATAATAGATAAGTAATGTTCGATATCATACATACATGAACAAAAATTAAAATGCAAAAGTATCTACTGCCGAAAACATTTGACATATATATATATATATATATATGCGCACACACACACACAAACACACACACACACACACACACACACACACACACACACACACACACACACACACACGCACACACACTGTGTGTGTGGGTGGGTGGGTGCGTATACAACTATTACAGTGTGGGATGAAATCGTTTTTTGAGCGGGGTATTAATTAGGAAAGAGTGCCACTTGGTGTTGAAAGCATGCATACATTTTACAATGACTACGGAAGTTCATTAGCCATATAACTGAAATGACAATGCAATTAACAGGATATGCAATGGTATTCGCCATAATATCCTATCCATATTCAATCCACATCAATTCCATAATAATGCAAAGGGTGTGTCAGAAATCCCAAAATCCCCGAGGTCTCACTCAATCAGTCAATTAAGATCGCAATCGTTTTTTTTTGGGGGGGGGGTGTTAAATCGTGTTGTCATTTTCAGAGGTTAAAATTAGTAAAGGGCTTATTTTGCCAAAACAAAGTGTAAAACGTACAGATACCCGTTTTCAAATGTCAAGGGGAAAAGTTATGTTTTTAGAAAATGAATACTCTGGTTATGTGCAGATCAACTTAAGTACAATAAAAAAGTATTTTTACTTTTTTTACTTACCACCACTGTTAATAAGCACCAAATGAGCGCCTCCTGTAATGGCCGCAATTCCTTTTAACCTCTGAAAATCTCTTTTTATTAAAAAAACATTCTAAAGTTGAATATGGTAGTCTTCAATTATGTTCCGTTTCTTGCTCTATTATTAGGGGTGGGACGATTCATTTACTTTTATACTTGTGCATGTAACGATTAGATTTAAATCACGGGTACACTATTGGTATTTTTCTAAAACAATACATTGTCCACGCTGCCATCTGCTGGAGCAAAGTGGTAGCTTCACTTTTGCTTTTTGAAATTCATGAAAATCGATTCTGAACATTGACATCGATTTATTGAATCCCGGCAGATAAAATCCCGATAGTTGAGTGAATCGTGGGGTTCTTTTGCACACCTTTATCTATTATGTTGTATAAAACCATCATCATAACAGCATTTCTAAATACTTATCTGTAATTATTTAATCCATATTTCTTCTTGCCTGTATAGCAGATACAAAAGCTGAGGTCGTGTGCACGATCAAGGTTTATCCTCTTGATGGCAGGCCAGCACAGTTAATCTCGTGCAGATGCACGTTACACGCAAAGATTGCATGACAACCATGCATCAGTGCTCATGCACTCATGCCTAGGGATTAGTATTTGGCTTAGGCATTTGTATTCAGCTCTCACGCGACAAAAGACAAAGCCGTTGTAGCTATTGCAAATTGTGTTAGCGTGTTTTTTACATTTTCTTGGCTGCGTTTTGCTCAATCAGAAACACAAATGTTTCATACTTATTTTTTAATAGGTGTCTTCTGATGGTCCTTAAAATGTGGCTCCAATGGACATCTGAGAAAAGAACACCGTGTTGTCATCACTGCAGCGTGTCGTCAGCATCACTGAGCATCATGATGTTGGGCGGAGGAGAATATAAGGGTGAGAAAGAGATTGGAAATGACTGATAATGTTCTTCTGAATTTTAAGGCAGTAAGCTTTCCCTAGATAACTTCCTCCTCTCTTGTCAACCAAATTCACATTTTTGTTGAATGAAATTATTTAAAAATATGTACAGATGAGTATACTGTACAGTAAAATAAAAGCAGCATTTCGATGGGATTAAATAACAAAAGACGATAAACCACTACATTTGAGTTATCCGTTTTGACAGAAACGCCAAAGTGAATTAGGATCGAAATGTTCAGCCCCTCCTCCTCCCCACTTATATGCACATACACACGCACTTGCTGTGACACACCTCTGTCACCCTTTTCCTCCCTACCCAATGATGTGAGTGCAATGCAATTTTAGCAACGTACGTCACTCCGTTGCTCCTCCTCTGCGCCTAATGATGCGTGCGTGTTCGTGTGTGTGATTTTTTTTTTTTACTAGTGTGTGTGTAGTGTGTTCTTGCACATCTATGCATCTGCATACCTGATAGGATCAATCCAGACTCTACTTCATTGTCTTTCTGTCAATCCCTAACGCCATCTCTTGCACTACTTTTAGGTTCGGTCACCCGCGCCCGCCCTCACACTTTTACGAACGAAGGACTGTTGGAGCTCGACATTTTGCCTTCATGGAGGATTACCACAAACCTGACCAACAGACAGTGCAGGCGTTGAGGAACATCGCCAATCGCCTCAGGATCAACTCCATCAAGGCGACGACCGCAGCAGGCACCGGGTGAGTGGACTGCTGTGCTTCTACATTGTACTAGCACAATTTTTGCAAACTTGTTAGTTCTGGACAGGCAGCTGTCATTCTCATGCACCTGTATGTATAGCATATGAACGCTGTGCACGCCAAGGCATACTTGAAGTGAAGGGCCTGAAAAAGACCACGTCCTGCCTTTGTTCTGCTCGTCCGACATTTTCCCATCCCAAATTGTCTTATATTCTAACATCAGTAAAAAAATACATATTAAGAAAAAAATACACAGCACAGCATTTGCAACAGTGTAATCCTGCTTTCTTGCATGTTTTACACCTTCTTTTGTAGTTTTGCACATGCATGAATACAAAGCATTGCTGCCAAAATGCACTAATAGAACACATAATATTTATTGTATTCTATTTTGTGTGTTAGAGCTCACTTGTGATTTTTTTAATTTTGTTTCATTTTTCATATTTTGAAATAGTAATTTTAAATGATGCTCGAAACTACAAAAATACCATATTTCATTTAATGATACATGCCACAAAATGTTTTACATGGCATGAATGAAATTCTCTCTCGAAAAAAAGACAACTCCTGACCTTTTATTGCAAAGAACGAAGGGTAACCCCTAACAAAGAAAAGCAATTGAACAAAGCTGCTTTACTTCACCATAAATAGTCTACCCGCTATCTGCAGTTTAGGCCCGTCTTCTATCAAGTTGTTATACTAGCAACAAAATACTCAAAAGCAGATTTTTTTTTTTTTTTTTTTTTTTTTTTTTTTTTACAATGAGTAGACATACATTATGCATGTCAATAGTATGGCAGACATGCACGCCTTAAGACACCATAAGGCTTGACGGTGTTCTTTGTGTTCATTCAGCTGTTGGTCCCTTTAGTGTCTACTCCATAATAGTCTTTGAATTCTAGTTTTATATGTATTTTTTTCCTTACTCTGCAAATGAGATCACCGAATGAATAATTAATAATGGGTTTTACTGTAAAAATCACATTTTTGCTTTTTTAAAAAATTCATTCAAATTAAATAAATATGAATATACTCTATAGTTACAGACCTTACCCGGTTGATATGCTGGTTACTGTATAGCACCACTTTTTCCTTGTTTTCATGTGGACCTGATGAATTTCTTGTGTGTGAGCATCGTTGTATGATTTGTGACAAGTCCGTCGCGTGCTGCTGCACTCGTGACATCTGGATAAAAGCACTCTCTCCCTTCCTTTCTCCCCCAGACACCCTACATCATGCTGCAGTGTGGCAGAAATCATGTCTGTGCTTTTCTTCCATACCATGAAGTATCGCCCCGAGGATCCACGGAACTTCCACAGCGATCGCTTCCTTATGTCCAAGGTGTGAGCCTTTCTGTCCTACGGAAGAAATGTGGATTTCCAATTAAGATTAAGTACTGAATTCCCAATTTTCTCTATGCTAGGCTCAATCTGCACCAGCCTTGTACTCCATGTGGGTTGAGACAGGCTTCCTGAAGGAGAGTGAGTTGCTCAACATGTGCCAGGTTGACTCTTCACTGGAGGGCCACCTCATCCCTGTAAGGAGATGCATTGGAAATCAGCCAACCAGCTGATTATTATCGGGGTTTTTTTTTTGTGATATAAAAAAATGTGACCAAGAAAAATATTTTCAAAAATTGTTTCCTAATATGAATGCTACTAGAACCTGTACAACTCAATTGAATTACAAAAAAAAATCTTTTTACAACGGGAAGTTAAAATAAACTTGAAATAAACACAATGTGGTTGCACAAGTGTGCACACTATCTCATAACTGGGATCTGTCTGTGTTCAGAATTGACTAATCACATTCAAATTTATGTTAAATTAGAGTCAGCACACACCTACTACCATTAAAGTGCCTCTGACTAAACCCAAATGAAGTTCAGATGTTCCAGTTGGCTTTTCCTTACATTTAGTTTGCTTTCCAGCAGAATCCTGGAGGAAAATTTACACTTATACAACCACATCATTTCAGTTTAGTTTTAAATCTCTTGAAAAAAAATGACCAAAAATGTTTTAAATTAATTTTGTTTTTATTTTGGTCTCATTTTTTTTTCGATCACAAAAACTTGGCATTTGAACATGCGTGTGCAGACTTTTTATATCCACCATATCTATGTGATGTTGCATTTCAGAGACAGCAATTTGTGGACGTAACCACTGGCTATTTGGGACAGGGACTCGGGGTGGCCTGTGGAATAGCGTACACTGGGAAATACTTTGACAAAGCCAGGTAATCCCTCACAAGCATGAACTAATATTTTCACAAATGGTCCAAATCTACAGATTTTTATACATATAGTAGTTGTAGATAGCTAAATGCTTTCATGAGGTCTATTTCATAGCTTCATCGGAGCAATTTTAGGATTGTCCACAAAGTGGATGTGCGCTGCGGCTACATGCTCCGCTCTCCTGATTTTTCTGCTCTAATAATCACAGGCCCAGCAGTCGTATCTCTCGTTTTTCCCGAGCAGATTTCCTCTTTGAAAAAAATCCAGACCTTGTGCTTTCAACCGTGGATTTATACCCAGTTGATTATTGTAATTTCTTGTTGCTTACCAAAGTCATTACTCATTTTTCCTTTTGTAACTGCATGCAAAAATGGCTGTCCAAATTACCTAGCTGTTAATATTTGAGAAAAACGGAAGGCAAGTTGGAGGTACAGGTGTGAAATTCATCAGCCACACCTTCAGAAGCCCCGGGAAACTTCTTTCATGCCATGCTTAGCAAGTGAGCTGTCAAACCAGGAATCAGTCTAACCGGAAAAGTGTCAGATAGCATTTTCATGCTTTGTGCGCTCAAGCGCAGGCTCACTAATGGCATAACCCTTCTCCACTTGCAGCTACCGTGTTTACTGCTTGTTGGGGGATGGTGAAATGTCAGAGGGCTCCGTATGGGAAGCCATGTCGTTTGCTTCTTACTACCAGCTTGACAACCTGGTGGCGATCATGGACATCAATCGCCTGAGCCAAAGTGACTCTGCGCCTCTGCAGCATCATGCAGAGAAATACCAGAGACGCTGCGAAGCTTTCGGGTAATACAGTACGGGCCTGATCAACTCTATGTGCGATGAACTGTCAAGTATATGTAAATGTCGTTGTTTGAGTGTCAATCCCAAGTATAGATGCCAGTAGGGATGGAAAAAAGGCTACTCTATCGAATGTACAGTCTACAAAATGCTAATTTTATTAGCATAAACCAGTTTTACATGAGGAACCGTCATCGATCAATCAAGTCTCACACCTCACTATATGGCAGTAGAGCTGCAATGTGTGGTTACCACAAGACAATAATCTTTAGCAAAACAAAACAAAAAAAGTGTACTACACTGGAATATCATTATTTTGATTCAATGTATTTTTAAAATTTTCTAATGTAAGAAAGAATCTATTTGAAGCCTGCACATATGAGAGCCGAAACATCTTCAGAACAGAACAGTCCATTTGCGATTGATTTGATACCCTGAGAACACAATGACCTGGATGAATTTGAATATTCACAGGCTCATTCAAGTATTTTTTTGCTTGTTAGTTAGCAGCATCATGCAAAAAAACTATGAAACCATTGTACAGAAAAGATTGTTATCGGATGGTGCGTGATCCAGGGATGACCTCTTTATATTTAGGTTAAATGTAAAGTTATGCAAAAAAAAAAAAATGTTTTGTTAACATTGTGCGATACAGCATTTTCCTTCGGTTTTCAGAAAAAAAAAGTTTTTTTAGCAGCAGATCAAAATTATTATTTGGCTTTGACGAACGTTTGTGTTCTACCAAGTCACACTGTAGTTTTTGCACACATATGCGTGTGCCTTGGTATTTTGAATACCCAAATTCTTCTTTTGAAGTGTTGTTTGTGTGTGCAACATGTATGCAGCTGGCATGCCATCATTGTGGATGGACACAGTGTGGAAGAGCTGTGCAAGGCTCTGAGCCAGCCACGCCATCAGCCCACTGCTATCCTTGCCAAAACCGTCAAGGGCAAAGGCATTCCAGGTAATTACCTGTCACGGAAAATGTAAAATAATCCTTCGTCTGGAACGTCAAATGTAATTATGTGTGTTTGGTGGTGTTTTAAGCTGCAGAGGATAAGATGGGCTGGCACTCCAAAAGCCTTTCTAAAGACATGGCCGAGATGGTCATGAAGGATCTCCAGAGTCGGATTATGAGCACCAGCAAGCACCTGTACCCACCCACTCCCGTCGAAGACGCTCCTCCGGTGAGCCTGAGGAACATCCGTATGGCCAGCGCACCCGCTTACAAGCCTGGAGAAAAGGTTGTCCGCCCGTGCACAGCATTTCACACGATCTCCAGTGACCACAGAGGCAATGGCAGATACCTGTAATACCGGCATGTACTGAATTTTTGTCACAGATTTCCACACGTAAGGCCTATGGGATGGCGATTACCAAGTTAGGCCGCTACAACGAGCGCGTCGTGGCTCTCGATGGAGACACAAACAACCTCACCTACTCAGAGATCTTCAAGAATGAGCATCCCAATCGCTTTGTGGAGTGCTACGTTGCCCAGCAGAATATGGTAGGATGTCGTAGGAACCTCCGCTGTTAAGAAACCACTGTATGTTAAGACACAGATTCTTGTTTTTAATTAATTTCAGTTGTCACTGAAATATTTGGACCCACTCATTGTATTTTGTTGTGCATATTTCATTATTGGTATTTATTTTGTACTGTGGAGTGGCTTGGAGAAAGCGTGCGGTTCTACTACACTGAAAAACTAAACAAAACCACAGTGTTGAATTTACTTATTTTATTTTGTCAAGCGGTGGCACAAAATAACATCATCTGAATTCAGATCTATTTTTTAAGTGGATGTATAGTCGACTTGAAAAATGTATTTGGATCCAGAGGATTTTATTTCATGTCACCACCTGACGAAATAAGAATGAGAAAATTCAACTAAACCAATTTTCAGTGTAGTGTTGCTTCCTAGTGAATAACTACTTACAAAGTAAATTAAGTGATTGCTCAATTCTTTTTTCTTTTTTTATTCCTCTTTTGTGAATGAATGGCGTTGTGTGAATCATCTTTGATTATATATTTGACAGCTGGTCGGTCATATGTGGTCATAAATTATATATGACTTGCCAGCCTATTATGTAAGGATGGGTAAAGACATGACCCATTTGCTTTATTATGGTCACTGTTTGCAACACCGGTGATCATCGTCTTCCTCAGCATGTGTCATTATGAGCTTATTAATATTACTGTGCGATTGATCACATGGGAGGAACAGCTCTTTAAATGGCGGTGCTGTGGTATCTCTGACTGCAGACGACTCCAATCTAGGTCAGGCATTTTGTGATGATGGTAAGCAGTCACGGCAAGTGAAATATTAATTAGTGAAGAGGGTGGAGCCATATGCCCGATGGAAAGTCGAGGGGCAGATCCAATACGACAGTTGTAAAGAGTGGTACTAAGCATTCATTAAATTGTCACCAATAAAAATGGCATCTGATTAATGCTGTCGGTAAAAACTCACAATTACATCAGCTGATAGTATTGTATAATTGTGTAATGTAAGTATATTTAACACCTACCCCCAAATGTATACGTTAATACATATTAGACTTTGCTTGGGTAGCTTAAAAGCTAATCAAATTATATATTTTAAATATTAATATGTAAAAGCTCCTCATAACGGGTTGACTAATCACATGGTTCTTCTGCCTTATAGTGACTGTGCCACTTTATGAGGTGGCGTTTGGAAGAGCAGTTCACACCGAAAAAAGATTTTGTCATCTTGCTTCAAAGTTGAAAAACAGGCGTGCATTTTTGAATGTCACATTTTTATAGATTTGCCATAACGTTTGTACACTTGGAAATAAAATGAATAGTTCAATCGATAGACGTTACACCCACACGTTATATGTTACGTGTAAATGTTTCGATTGAAACGAAATATTGAGTGAATACAGTATGTCAGTTCAAAGAACTGATCACCAAGTGTACCCAAATGACACATATCATTCCATATCCAGATCAATATCAGTTGTTGGTATGGTGCTAAGAAACGTCATTTCCTTTTCCAGGTCAGTGTTGCCATGGGATGTGCCGCCCGTGAGAGAAACGTAGTGTTTGCCAGCACCCTGGCATCCTTTTTCACACGTGCCTACGACCAGCTCCGCATGGCAGCCGTATTAGATAGCAGCATCAATCTTTGCGGCTCCCACTGTGGCCTATCCACCGGTTAGTAAGAACTACCATCCTCCCAAAGAAATTAACCCTCGTGAACCTTTATTTCCCTCACACTGAGCACCCGACTCCTGTTGTTGATTTTTTTTTTTTTTTTGCGTGTGTGAGTACAGTTCTTGTACTTTTCTCCTTTGTCCTCTAATCTTTTCCTCACCAACACTCCACTAGTCCTCACTCCTCCCCTCTTCCTTCCGTCCTCTCTGCCCTGGAAGCCGTCTGTGAGGAACCATGTGTTCCTCTCTTTGCGCAGGTACACTTCATGCATGTCCCCTGCATGCATCTTCTCACCTGCCCAAATTATGACGCGTGAAGATCGCCTGCCAAATTTAAACAGTTACCGTAGAGTTAAATGTATATATTGCAGGGGAGGAGGGGCCCTCCTTGATGGGATTGGAGGACATGGCCATGTTCAGGGCACTTCCTAGGACAACCATCTTTTATCCTAGTGATGGAGTGTCTACAGAGAAGGCTGTGGAACTGGCTGCATCCACAAGGGTAAAACGAGTGTGCTCCATATGAAAACTGTGTGGGTCTTTTTCAAGGGGAAACATACATTTATTGTTGCTTCCTACAGGGTGTTTGCTATATTCGAACCAGCCGCCAGGACAGTGCCGTCATCTACAACAGCAATGAAGATTTCCATGTTGGACAGGCTAAGGTAGAAATTTCTTTACTGACATTGATGTGCCTGCTTTGTGGGTTTACTGCAAAATCGTGCGTGCACGCTCTCTTTTTGCCAGGTGGTGTACCAGAACAAAGAGGATCAGGTGACCGTGGTGGCTGCTGGAGTGACTCTGCATGAGGCTCTAGCAGCAGCTGAACACCTAAAGAAAGGTACTTCTGACATACTCAAGCAGAACTGAGCATTACTATTCAGATATTTGTTCCTATCCAAATGTAACTAATATTGTGTGCGCTAGATTTATATCTGACATCTGTGAGTCTAAAAACCGGCAACATAACACGCCAAAAAATCTTTCATCTCCATCCTTGATGTTGCAGAAAGGATACATGTGCGGGTTATTGACCCGTTCACAATCAAACCTCTTGACGTCAAGACCATCACGGACCACACGCGTGCCACCAGGGGACGAATCCTTACCGTGGAGGACCATTACTATGAAGGTAGGTAATGTTTCTTAGCTTCTGCATATTGCATGACAGCGACTGGGCTTTCAGCAAAAAACATGGCGGCCGAGCTGCATCTGCGCAGCTGGGGCGCCTTCGTGTTGCACCGCATCATCATGTGTGTTACGGTGGCACGTTTCCATTGGCTTGGAGGAAAAAGGACACAGTGCGGTGGAATTTGCTTATTGGCTGGCATGCCCTCATTGCAGATAAGGTATAATGGAGCGTTTGCAAAATGTGGAAGTCAACGAGGCAGTGCGCTGTCACATTGCCTTAGCTGAGCATGTGCCCGTGGGGTACTTTGTGACCTAGATAACACAGGCAGCCATGCCCTCTGTCCGCCAAGGCAGCGGGGATGGGTGATGGTGCACACTTGACTGGACAATACATACCAGCTCTTCTTTTCATTTTCCATGAAAGCCAACTAGACCACACTTACATTTTGGAAATACCGATATTGTTGGTCGATGGCCAATGAAAAGCATACATTTCAAATGTTTTGGCCATGTATTTTTAAAAAATACGTTATTTATTATTTTTTAAATGTTGTGTTTATGATAAATAAGTACATTATTGAATTACAGGAAAAAAAGATAAAAATGTATTTAACAAAAGGTAAATTAACCAGTGTTGGGGAAGAAAATCCCAAATTACCGCAACAAAATATTTATTTATGGTAGTAATAAAATAAATCATGTTTATTTGTCAAATTTATGACTAATGAACCAAATGTTTTGTGAAGAAAAATAACTATTATATCAATATGTAAATGCATTTTTTACAATAACACAATTAGCATTTTTTTAAATTGGATGCATCCATGGAAAATAAATTAAAATGAATACATTCACCTCACGTAAACAGCAAAATGAATGACATCTTTTTTAACAGGACTCTGAATAAAACAAATGTGCCCTGTTGGCTATATCTTGGCTATACTTTCTTCCCCTCTGCTCCAGAGTGACAACATTACCCAGCCTTACACTTCTTTTTTTTCTTTCAAATGATATCGTTTTGTCTCACAGGTGGCCTGGGCGAGGCCGTGTGCTCAGCAGTTGTAAACGAGACTGGCTTCAATCTGCATCGTCTGGCCGTGTCCCACGTACCGCATAGCGGCAAACCGCAAGAGCTCCTGAAGATCTACGGCATCGACCGTGACGCCATTGCCCAAGCTGTACGCAAAATGCTCAGCACCTCCACCAATGCCAAGTAAATCTACACCCCTGCCCAACCATTTTTCTCACCCAATTTATCAACAGTCGAGTGAGTCACATGACACCCAGCTCTCTCCTTTTCTTCACTGTGAATCCCCGTAAGTGTTTAAACAATTGTGATTTTGTGATTTTTCAAGGTAGAATTACACTTTTGCTCATCCTTAATGCACCCATCAAGCCACATACAAACTCTAATACACGCACACAAACACACACACACACACACACACACACACACACACACACACACACACACACACGAACCCGCACACAAACACTACATATCCCATCTTTTCCAATTTTGACCATCAACATCACACACTTTTTACATGTTCAACGAGAGTACGTTGTGATGGTCCCGTGTGTTTTTGCAATGCTTTTTCGGTCACGTCATTAAGGTGGCAGCGTTTTTATATACTTTGTATTATTCCAAATGTAGCTCTTTGAAATCGGGTGGGTGGTTAGTATTGAAGTAGATGTCATGATGATGGTGTCAGAAAGAAACCAGGTGAGTTGTTGTGTGTAGAATTTTAGCGGAAAACAAAGCAAAAAACAAATGTAGATTGGTTAAAAGTTTCACTAAAAACACAGGTCACATCCTTAGACGATTCAAATGTTCAATTGCGTCTCCTCAGCATTGTTGTTGTTGTTGTTGATGTCACTTAGCATTCACACGACACATCAGCCATATACACTTGGAGCACACCGCCACACCAGCAGTATACATAAAGACGTGGCCATTGACATGTTTTTTATTAGGTGGGGGGAGGGCGGCTCTCGTGCTGATGCGGAATTTTGATTGTGACCGTGTAGTTAGAATTAAGTCTGACTTGTGAACCTAAGAACTGTTACTTGAAGTTTTGTACGTACCATTCTTTCATGTAATAAAGCCCTCTACATTTGAGTCCTGCAGTTTGTATGTGTTTGATTTACTTCTTGTTTTGTCTGCCAAAGAGGCTATGGATTTTACAGGCATTTCCTGGTATGTGAATAGTAAACATCAGAACGGATGGAATGGATTGTCAAGTACATGGAAGTGAACTGAATTATTTTAATAAAACTGCAGATTACAATGAGAAAGTGAAACAGACTTAGGTTACGAGAATTTAAAATAAACAATTTTATTTTAAAGTAAAACCTGCAAAAGTTTAATTGACACAAATGGACTTTTTTTTGGTTGTTTCACCTTTGATCCAAAGGCTTCTCCAATTGAAAATTTTAGGTGTGTATTTCTCCTATCTATGCCTCTTCTGTGAACATTTGTAGATAACCATGACCCGGATGATGGAGAACCTACACACACCTACAGAATCAAGTCAAACAAATGTTTACCTTGTTAAGGAAGAACTTGGGTGATAGTTTCAGTCCATAAAGAGTCGGGCTTCAAATTAGATTGCTTGACATTTAAAAGATTTCTCCTAAAATATTTATCATATAGACAAATATCACAGATTTCATAGTCTATTAAAATTCTTATTCATGAAATGGAACACATCTAAATATCTGAGAGTGTCAACAAAACCATCTTGTGTGAAAGAGTGCGACAATGACATCCTGAAATTTGATTGTATTCAGTATGAGTTATTTCAAGACGGTTTTAAATGCAAAATGCAGTTGTAGTTTATGTTTTGAGCCCGTAGATGGCAGTGCCGGATTTAATTCAACGCATGAGTCGGCTTGTATTCGTCAACGCCGCGCAATGCATTTCGGTACTTGTAGTTAATTTGCTCAGTGAAGCGTACAAACTAATGAGAAACAAACTACATTTCCCTCTCCCCTAAATTGAATGTCGCGTAGGGGCATTTTTTTTCCTCCAGTCGATTATCTTCAATTTAAGTTTCGTCTGTCAGCTGCAAGAATAGAGCCGCCCAAAAAAAGTCACAGAGAATGGAACTAGTGTCGAGTAGCTTGAGCCTTCGGCATATGTAACGAGACGAATAAAAAAACACGCAAGCTATGTGAGTTCCAACAATGCGCTTTGAGGGGAAAGGGCAGTGATTTGAAGTCCTGCTCGCTTTTCTTCACTGCTCCGGCTAACCAGGGCTGGGTCCCGTTCCATTTGGGAGGCTGCGGTTCGCCAACATTTCCATGGCCGACCAAGAATATCCCGAAGCGGTACTGGTGACCGAGGCCGGGCCGCAGTGGCTCCGAGTTGAGGTGGAACGACTCTCCCGGGAGCTGCGAGAAACAACGCAGGAAAAGATCCAGGCAGCGGAGTACGGACTAGCGGTCCTGGAGGAGAAACAACAGCTCAAGCAGCGATTTGATGAGTTGGAGACCGAATATGAGGCTGTCCGACAGGAGCTGGATCAGCTCAGAGAGGTAGTATACGGTCACCCATTAAACATTTTAGATATTTTTTTGTGGTCAGTAAGAATGCTACGTAAAAGCGAGCTATGAAAAGCCAGGCTTTGACTTGAATTATTGAAGTTTTACCTCTATTATTAAATGCACTCATGGCTACACCTGCACAGGCTCATGAGACGAAATTACAAGTGCTCGGCTATATAAAAACCTCTGATGAAAATGCATACAATTCGTTTATGACACAAAATTGAACAATGTTTATGATTGTGGTCCTGTATATTTAAAATGCAATGGTGCAACAACAGTGCATCCCACTGATAGTTGTTCGGAATATTTTGCCACGAATGGAATTGAGAAGCAGCTAAACAACAGGGAATATCTACACACAGTTCTAGATGCCATCTACGAATGCACTGATACCACTATTTTCAATACTAGTGTGTGTACAAGTATTAATATTTGAGTACTCGCCAATGCCAATTAAAGTACGTGCATTGACAATGTTATTACTTCCTGCAAACCATAAAAACTCCACACAGCTAGTCCAGAGCCAATATTCAAACTCCAAACCTCAGAATTGTCAAGCAAACATCCTAACCACGAACCACCATGCTGCCCATTTCATTTCATTGCTCATTATTTGTAACGTCAGTACATAGCTCATATTGAATCTCATTAGAATGTGCGGGTGTGTAAAATATCCAGTGATTTGGAAATGGTTTTGATAAATAATCCTATTTCAGTTAAATATCGGAAAGCAGCATGTTGACGTGTGATGGAATAATTTCTTCACGCTAAAAGAGAAACACGTGTCTTGTCAAGTCTGGACTTGTGCTTCTCGGTATGCAATGCTGTATTCTTCTTTTCACAACTGCCAATGTGGCAAACTTGAAATACAGAGAATATCACACCAAGATGAAAGACCAACTTGAATACCGACCCTGCGAAAATTCCTCCAAAGCATTTGTATAACTCCCACATCCTGCATAAGCACAGATACCGCCCCACACCCGGCCACTTCCCTTTGCAGGGGATATAGTAGTTTCTGTTTTGAATCGTCAGCCAGTGTTTTGATCAACAACAAAAAAATACATTTATTGAATGTGAGACACAAATGATGACCTATTCTCAATAATACATCGATGGTAGGTAACGGTCATCATCTGTAAAATATCGTTTTGTGGCGTAAATCACAGTCACTTGACTCAGCCTGAGCTCATTCTTGAGAAGGTCTCATGATGATGACCTACTTCCTTTTTGAGTGATAATGCCGTCAGAGCTGGAGCCATGACTGACCACACAGCCTGTTGCAAAAATGAGTGGTTAGATTTTGATCTTTAAAAAAAAAAAAAAAAGAGCATTTTCATTGTGTTGTCTTAATAGTAGGCCATTCATATTAAGCCTCAGTGTATTTGCAGTTCTGGTGTGTTGCACTTTAACAGCTAATTTTGCTTCGTGAGCATGAGTGACTAAAAATACTGTCTGCTTGTACGTTATTCTGTCCGTGTTTGTCGCGATGCTTATCTGTCCTTTCTGTTTTCAGGCCTTCGGGCAAGTGCACTCAGCCCACAGGAAGGTGGCAGCAGACGGAGAGAGCAGGGAGGAATCGTTGATCTTGGAGTCGGCCAGTAAGGAGGCGCAGTACCAGCAGAAAGTCCTGGAGCTGCAGAATGACCTTCGTCAGGCCAAAGCGTCAATTGCAAGTGTGCAAGCTGAAAATGAACGCCTGTCACACATCGCTTTGGAAATGAGAGAGGTGAATGAGATGAAAGTGATTTGAATTTAGCGGGAAAATAAAATCTTATAAGATTGAAATCAATTTATCCTAGGGTCACACTGTCATTTGAACTATACAGGCAATATTTTAAGATGTGTTTAACGCTATAACAATTAATTGAGTAAGTTGGCTCCTCGTTCAATTTGAAAAAAGGGCAACACTAAATCTATGCGTCAAAGTCTCGTATAGATGTTTTTCTACACTGATTAATACTTCTGAAGTCGCATGCACGATTGTGAAGAAAGAAAGAGGTGTGAAAGAGAATATTTCAAGCTTGGGATCATTTCAAATTTAAAATGGAAGATAAAGTGCAATTATGTGTACACTCATTCTCTGACACTCATGTCACTCACGAGGGCAAGGCACCACTTTGAAAGTCTTACACACACAATGGCACCGATGCTACAGTAGAATGTGAGGATGGCAACCTCGATGTTTTGACGGAATCATCGGTAGAATGCTGAATTAAAAAAATATTAAAAGTCCAATCTTCCAAAGTGTGTTTTGTGTTAGACACATTTTTCTACGGGAATTTTGGCCACATGACGGTTTGTTTGAAACTGCAATTAAAAAAAAATCCCTATATTTCCTCTTATTCTTACACTTTCCCTATCGAGTAGACCTCTGACCAGGTGGAGTTGCAGCGCAGTCAGCTGCGGGATGACATTCGAGAGTATAAGGTGCGGGAGGCACGCCTACTGCAGGACTACAGTGAACTGGAAGAGGAGAACATCTCTCTGCAGAAACAAGTGTCTGGGCTGAGACAGAACCAGGTGCGTCAGAGTGGTTGCGAATGCGGTGAATATAAAAAAAAAAAATTAAAAAAAACACGCACGCTAATGCTCGGTTAGCTGGCCCTGTTTTTTGGGGTTTCCGCACAATACTTTACAGCGTTATTTGCATGTCTTAATCACCGTTTAGGTGGAATTTGAAGGCCTCAAATATGAGATCCGCCGTCTGGAAGAGGACTCCCAGTGCCTAAACGGCCAGCTGGAGGATGCCATGCGGCTGAGGGAGATTGCCGAGCGCCAGCTAACCGAGGCCTTAGAGACGATTAAAACCGAACGTGAGCAGAAGGCCACTTTACGCAAGGAGCTCTCGCACTACGTGACCATTGGCGGCTCCGTGTACAACGGCTCGTTCAATATCTCCTTCGACAACCTTAAACTCCACGACGAACCCTCCGCCATCTCTGATCTGGACAACGACGACTTAATCCGAGGCTTTGAGAACGGCTTGATTAAGGCAGGCGAAGGTGACAAAGATAACGAGACTGCGGCAGGCCACAGAGGAGACTCCTTCAAGCCTGCGCCGAGCCTGGTGGACGACCTACTGAGCGAGCTCAACATTTCTGAGATTCAGAAACTGAAGCAACAGCTTGGACAGGTATGAGATCCATAAACTACCGTGCTTTAACAAAGGTCGAGTTAGGGGTTGCCCGATTCTAACTTTATTTCATAGGAAATATTTTACATGACTAAAACAACACTTTTTTGTGTCTCAGGTGGAGAGGGAGAAAATGGCCCTCATCAACACTCTGCAGGAGAACCAGAAGCAGCTTGAACAGGCCTATGGGACCGTGTCCGAGCAAAAGGAAACCGTCAACAGACTCACTGAGAACCTGAGCGCCATGAGGAAGCTTCAGGCCAGCAAAGAGCGTCAGTCGGCCCTCGACGGTGAAAAAGATCGTGACAGCCACGAAGACGGAGACTACTATGAGCTGGACATCAACGGGCCGGAGATCCTGAAGTGTAAATACACGGTGGCTGTTTCTGAAGCGGGTGAGTTGAGGCAGGAACTAAAGACGCTTCGGGCACAGTATGAGAATTGTCGAACCCAGTACCAAGATGAACGAGCACGGCTGGAGAGTGACCTCCATGAGCTCAGATCAAGGTTGGCTTCCCTGGAGAAGATTAGCCAAGCAGATAAAACGGAGATGGCTCGTCTGGAGAAAGAGCTTCGTCTGGTTAGCGAGACTGCTGGAGAATCACTCGGCAGCCTCAACGTGGCCCAAGATGAGCTCATAGCATTCAGCGAGGAGCTGGCTAATCTCTACCACCACGTTTGCATGTGCAACAATGAGACCCCCAACCGTGTCATGTTGGACTACTACAAGGAGGGCAAAGCATTGGTGAGGCGAGGACAAGAAGCGAAGGCACGCCCCTCTTCTGTACTTCTCACCAACGGAGTGGTTCCCGAGGGTGACCCTCAGAAAGCGGACTCCGTCGACAGCGCCGTCGTCTCAGGCCCGGAGCCCCGCCCGGAGCCCATGAACATCTACAACCTGGTCGCCATCATCAGAGACCAGATCCGCCACCTGCAGCAAGCGGTGGACCGTACCACTGAGCTCTCCCGCCAGAGGCTGGCCAACCTGGAGCTGAGCAGCGTGGCCGATAAGGACAAAGAAGCTTGCATGGAGGAGATCCTCAAATTGAAGTCTCTGCTCAGCACCAAGAGAGAACAGATCGCCACGCTCAGAGCTGTGCTCAAAGCCAACAAACAGGTCAGAGGACCACACGGACTCTCTTTTAGATGCATTATTTGGTGCACTGTTTCATGACATCCACTGTCAGAGAAGCATCGGTTTAATAATATTTAGTATTGTGGTTGTAATTTGCAGTTATAAAGTACTGCACTATATATTGTAAAATTTCATGAATAATACTCATATTTTTGCCCCCCCCCCCCAAAAAAAATCACGATACATGTATTATATTACACAGTTTAAACATGAACACCAATGTAGGAAAACAAGTCATTTAAAATATATTGAACAAAAGTTGAATATAAATGATATCTGAATACATTTGAAGACAGTCCTAATTCATGTTCTGTACATGATTTTAAAAATGCTTCAGGCACTGTAAGATTACAGTTTGAACATTTAATTAAGAGCTCCTTTTTTGTTCTTTGCTCGCGGAGGGTGCCTGTACCACACTTTGAGGAATGCTCTATTGGACTGTTACATTGTGGCTGGCTGTACACCATTCTGACTTGATTAATAGTGATCCGTATGAAACACAATTTATTCCTTAGACGGCAGAGGTCGCACTGGCCAACCTGAAGAGCAAATATGACAGTGAGAAGGCCATGGTGACCGAAACCATGATGAAGCTTCGCAATGAACTCAAGACTTTAAAAGAAGACGCAGCCACATTCTCCTCTCTCAGAGCAATGTTTGCTTCAAGGTACAATGACTTCATTTTTTTTTGATTGATATATTCGTTCTTGGGAATATAATTGCAACTATGGCATACATTTTTAACAACACAAGAGTCTATTTTTGCATGACGTGGATGTGGCACCAAGCACTTTGGGAACTGTCTGATGTAATAGTTCCATCTGGAAACGACATTTGGTTTATGGCGAGAGCATGTGGGAGTGCTGCAAACGAGTAAAACCGGCAAATGGCACCCCCTACTGTCGACGGGATTTATCAATTCATTTCTTTCTTGGACTCATTTCTTCTTCTCCACACTTGGTCCTGTCAGGTGCGACGAGTACGTGACCCAGCTAGACGACATGCAGAGGCAATTGGCGGCGGCCGAGGATGAAAAGAAGACGTTGAACTCTCTGTTGCGAATGGCCATCCAGCAGAAACTGGCCCTCACCCAGCGTCTGGAGGACCTGGAGTTTGACCACGAGCAGGCGCGCCGCAACACTGCTACTTCGGCGGCAGGAAAGGGCAAGGCTAAGGGCAAGGGAGCCCCGTCCAGTCATCATGTAAGTCTTGGTAACACCGCAGGGCTGCCGCTCAGGCTGGCCCCAAACAAACCTTTTTTGTATGCTTAGCTTTATTTAAAGAACAATGGTTCTTATGCTAGCTGTAGTTTCAACAGCACTTAACGGACTTCATGTTTAATTTTTAATTTTATAAGAAATAGACCATGAAAGCAGGCACTCTTGTTAGTGTTTGTTGGTTATTACAAGGACACCCGCAGTATTCGCATTCATTTTAGTTAAATTTTTTGTATTTGATCTTTTGAACGGTTTCAGATATTTTTATATATATTTAAAAAATATATATTTATGGAGATGATGCAGAATAGATTGTATTGTATTGATTTTATTTAAATGTACTAGAATATTTAAAAATGTCAAAAGGCTGGAAGCATTGACATCAATTCTACACCAAGATCTTCTATTATTATTATTATAATTATTATCTTTGTGGCTTTTTAGCTGTCCAACTCCTCACAGACTTTTCCATTGATTCAAACCATACCAACTTCAACATATTCAGAAAATTCAGGACATACAGGTCAACGTCTTCCAAATTCCGAAAACTCCCAATTTCTCACAGAATTCCACTCCCCAAAATACATGCATGCATACATACAAATAAATTGTAGTGAATAAGACATTCAACAAAACACTGATTCAAAATACTCCAACTTTACAATATTTAAATTACTGTACATTTTTCCTATTTCTCTCCTATCTCTTGGTGACATTTTTATTAAATTGTGAACATTTGGGGATCCTCTTCTTGCACTGAATTGTTATCAAATCTTATCAAAGCCTGCATGAAAACCTCATTGCACACTAACTTTTCCTACTGCCAATTTTGTGTCACTAACTACCAATCAGCAATTAATATATTTTTTCTCTTTTTCTTATCTTTTCCTCCACAGTAAATCTCTCATATCAAGTGTCCTTGAGGAGTCTGATCAGTGTGCAGTTTCCAGACACCCGTGCTCCTGGTGTCTTCACTCGAATTGCGTTCTGAGTTGCGTTCTGAGTTGGCATACACCAGATCATACACAACAATGGCCTTGTTTTGAAGTGCCAAAACTGTTTTGTAAACTGTTCCACTTCACATCAGCAGTCTCTGTAGTACTTCAGTTTTCCAAGAATGCACAACACCTTGATAAATCAATGGATGAGCGGCATTATTAATTATCAAATTATTTGCTGCCTGCATGTGCGTGCGTGCGTGCGTGTGTGTGTGTTTCCCCAACTGAGCACTTTGCATTTTGTATGTTGCCGCTCCCTTTTCCCCACTTTTCTAATATGAAATATTTTTAAAGAAAGTACATTTTTATCTGCCAGGCTAGTCATTCTATGTTACTCACTGGCTTTTGTTGTTTATGTGTATTTATTTTATAACAAGAAGTCACCTCATGGAACACCTACGTTTTCAACCAATTGCTTGAAATCGTGAAACAAGAAACAAGTGACAAATTTCTGTTGGATACAAAAATAATATTTTCCAGTGTAGTAATGACCTGCATAATGTTCTCTGCAAATACGGCACAGCAAATTATGCTCATCATCAGTAAGGAAGAGTATTAAATGCAAACTTTTATTTCAAGCTGTCAAGTTATGGTCTGATGTTAATAGTCCATACCCATGAATTATTCACAAAAGAGAGTATGTCATGCATTTGTGTTGTACTGTATAGGACTTAAAAAAAAAGCTTTTTTTTAAAAAAAAAAAACAACAAACAAACAAAAAAACGTTTGCCTCCAGTGCCATTTTTTGTGATGGTGTAAGTGCAATTTCTAAGATTGGATAACTCCTAACCCTTGGTCATACCAGGTGAAAATGTTACATGGTGTTCGTCACTTTTTCCTACTTAGGTCACATTTCATTCTAACTACAATTACTGTTCAGTTGTGTTGAACAGAAGGGCAAACCAATTTCACAAAGACTTGTTCGTACGTGGTAAAACACTAGCAAAAATCATCATGACTGCAGGACTGTTAGTCCGAACAGTTTTTTTGACTGGTGAACAAATAAAATGATCTAACTCCCGTGGTGTTGAAGAGTCATCTTTTTATATGCATCCATCCATTTTCTGAACTGGTCATCTTCATCTTAAATGAATTAATTTTCCATCTATGAGAGAAACTGATAGGCAAAATATTATCCAACCAATCCATATGGTGCTAATAATACCATCCATTGTAGGATTAATGCACTCATTAGTTACAGTATCAATTACACCTGCACAATCTAATGAGATCTAAAGTGAGAACTGTATCGCATTGTTATATAGATCACTTTTTGTTTAATGCTAGAAATACGTTTACAGTGTACTGAGAACTGTTACGTTCTGTTCGCTCATGTCTGTATAATACATACACACGTTGTTATAGTATTAAGTTTATGACTGTCTCGAAGCTGAGCAAGATTGTTTTAGTAAATATAGGATTTTTTTTACTCTGCGCTGTTTTTTTTTTTTTTTTTTTTTTTACTCTGCGCTGTTCAAATGGCTCGTAGGGGCCTAATGACGTACGCAGAGTGCATTTAACTTGCATCATACTTCGGCAAGTCTTTGCAGGTCCTCGGCTTACGACGACACTTTACGAAGTTAGGGTAAGAATATGTCGTCTAACCGCAGAACTCACATCCTCTTACTGGCTGTTTTCCATATTGTGTTTTTCAAACATATCTATTTCAATGATCATGACTACTTCTGGATTTGCCTGTCTTCGGTCAGCGATTCGCTTCGGCGCCCGTATTTTCGTGCTCTTTCTAGCTTGTTCGAGTGTAAATAAGTGAAAAATAAATACTTCATGTCTATTTTTTATTACATTATACTTAAGTTAAATTTCGTTCGCTGTATAATTTAAACGTTTCCCCTTTGCTTCCATTTTTTCACTTCACAAAATAACGGCTGCATTGATTTCCGTTTCCGGTGGCGGGGCGGAAGTTATTACGTCGAGGGGGCGTGTCTTGAGAAAGGACAGAGGGACTCCACTATGGGAGGTTTGTTTCTTTCGTTGTCTGGAAAAAGGCTAATTTATCCTCCCACGTTGCCTCTTCTGCTTTAATAGCTGAAGTTTTAAACATTTGCAGTATTTACTTGCGAATGACAATTGTTCCGATGTAAATACTGTTTTAGTTTAGACTTTCAAAAAGTTTGTTTTTCTAAGAGATGTAGCTGCTGCGGACAGTGGCCAACTCATGTGGACATGTATTGTGTTTCTCTTTGTTCGAGTAGATTAAAACGATGGTTCATATAACAGAAACCGTGTTTAGCAACGTATCTATTTTTGCCAATGACTCGGCTTTGCCTTTTATTTGAATGAGACTCCTATGTGTGGACAGACAGTTTCCATGACCAGCTGGCAGAGGATGGGGCCTTCCTCAGAGCAGAGAGGAGATTGGACACAGAGCTGGTGGACAAAATCATCCTGCAGCTCAACAGAATCTACCCGCAAATACTCACAGACAAGGAGGCCACCAAGGCTAGTGACACGTGCACACATTTCACATCAAGTGCTCAGCAATGCTTGTTGTCAAAACACAAGGAAACATTCAAATACTTGCCACTGTTGGGTGGGTTATTTTTAGAGTCAAATGTGGTGTCTGTCCACTTCAACAAGTATAATGGATTATATGTATTATTCTGTCGTGCACCGCTTGACGGAGCCCACATACCACATTGTGGACTCACACTGTATTACCCCTACATTGAAAGATTAGCATTTTTTTTATTATGGACGACTAGTTTAGAAGTGAAGAAAAAATTGTAGCAAGCTTATATCGCATTTGTGGTCCATTGCAGTTCCGCAACTTGGATGTGCCCACATGTGTCCGACGAGGAGAGCTCCTGACGCACTTGCAGGCAAAAGGAGAGGAAGCATGTAGGGAATTTTACAGGGCTCTTCACCTGCATGTAGAGGATGTCTATTACAGCTTGCCAACACGGCTCCGCCTCCGAGGTTAGCACCTGACATTTCTCCTACCATGTACAGTATGATGAAAAACTCATGGATAACTAAATAACAACATGCATTCAGTTGAACCATCATAAAAATCAAACACAATCTCTTCGCTGGCGCGAACATTCATATCAGTCTAGTTTGATAACAGTCTGTCACTGTCATAAAGCGGTTATCATTTACAGCCATATTTTAAATCACATTTTAACATTAGAATGCCAATGTTACACTGTATTCCAACAGTTTACACCCCCAAAATCAAAATCATCACTTTGTCTCCAGATTCTGTTGATCCTCTCACACTTCCAAGTGCCTACAAAGAGCGACACGTCATGAATGACAATGGTAAGAGAAATATGTACAATGCACTGAATAAACTTTTGTCATGTCAGTGAAGGATCCCACTATTTGCTGCGGTTTTGCATGCCATCATCAATGAAATAATTAGGTCCGTTCAGCAATGCCACTTGAAATTCCCTCTTTCTAGGTCCCCTCTTCTTTATAGGCTGCTTCAGTGTTGCAGTTGGAATGGCATTGGTCTATTACTTTGGTGGTAAGGAGCTATTTTCTGTATGGCATACATATAATCCCAGGTGGATTTATTCGGTTTAAAAGCGACGTCCAAGTTATTGTGTGGGGTCAAGTGTCACTGTAGAGGGTGTCCTTCTTCTGTAGAAGCCAAACTGACTGGAGGAAGCGGGGCCCTTGGGATGGCGGCATTGGGTTTGAAAAGAAAAGCCCGGGAGGTCCTTGTGTGGTACGCCGAAGAAAGCCTCATGAAGTAAGGATTGACTGACCATCAGTGGCCAAGGGCTTCAGCGAATCTTTATTTGTACCAAAGCACAGCACCATACATTGCCTTTCAAGTGGTTAATAAGATTTTTTTTTTTTTTTTTTACATATTTGTATTTATTACTTCACGGGGTCCAAAATATGAACGATGAGGAACAATTGGGTCTACAACAATATGCTTATACTTGGTTGATCGCTATTTAGTGTGAGGTAAATCAATCATTAAAATGAAGAGGGAAGAGTTCAATACTATTCAGGATCGTTTTACTTTCTATAACCTTTACATTTTCAAAGATTATAAATGCAGTATCCATTTTTAATGGCCAGAGCTGATACACTTAGTTGGTAGTTTGTCGCCCTCGTCTGGTGTAATGATAAAGACAACAAGAACAAAGTGAATTTATTCAGTGAAGTAAAACGCAATTTGCTGAGATAAATATGCCCATTTTTAAGTGCCTGGTCGTGTAATCGGATGAAACAAAGTAATGTCGATTGGTTTCGTTCTGTCTGGAAAAAAGAAACGTCATACTGTTAACCAATGCGCATGAAGTCACATGACTGTCCTAGCCAATCCCTTCCAAGTTCTGTGCGCAGTGCATTATGGGTCTCATATATTTAAAAAAACAAACAAAACGAAGCAATGCCAAAATAAATTTTAAATGGGAACACACTCACCTTGTAGAAAATAACGAACTAAAAGCTAAAAGATGTATTTTGCAGTATCATTCTATAAGGATTGTTGGCACCTTAAGTGAAGTAGGACTGCTTCCTTATCACTATAAGAGGCCATTTTGTTGGCGAGATTTTATGTGTTGTATGAAAGGAGAGAAGGTTAGCACTCCCCTTGACAAGGATGGAAATGGCCCCTGTGGCCTGCAACACATATACGGTTAAGGCATTGCCACCTACTTCGTGGCATCTCTAACCAAGTTTTTTTTTCTCCTTTAACGTGTTAATCATTTATTTTAGCACTTAATCAAAATTCAGGGACAATTGTAAGTTTTTATATTTTCACTCACGCAGTATAAGCACTCTATTGCAATGGACAATGAACTTTCAATCTTGAATGTGTTGAAAGTTTCTGTGAATATTTAGTCATTTTACTCTGCACTCTGCTGCAAAATATAGTCCATACTATATGCCTTAACTAATATGTGAATAAATCACAACCCCGATATTGCTCGACTTTATTTCCCACATTCATTAGACATTTCTATACTTGAGTGCCTTCTGCCAATTTTAAAATTTCTCAAAAAATACTACCAGATTTACCCTCCCAGTGAAACATAATATGAAATATTGATGAAGTGTGTCTTGGGCTCCTGTCAACAATTCAAACAAAAAGTCAAACAAAAGGAGGACTCATAAACCTAACAGTTGCTACAGTATAGAAATAGTGCTTTATGAAAATATACAGAAGCAATTCTACTACACGCATAGTTTGGTGTTTGTGTTTCTTATTTTCTTATGTCATTGTGCAGTTGGGTGTCCATATTTTCATTCTGATTGATGTTAGCTGATATTCCAGGTTTCCTGTGCCTGCTTCCATTTTTTGTTTCTTCGTCATGTTAAGATGCCTTAACCATAGAAGTGCCACTTTGGTCCTCTGAACTATGTATATTCTGACAATAAACAAAATGACAACATTTGTTTGTTTTGATCATAACTTTAATTTAAAATAGTGCTCACAGTGTTTGTTACACCATACTTTAAAATCCAAAAGAGATTTTAGTCCTTAGAAAATTCTATAAAAACACATCATCGAACACAAATAATTGAACAGACACTGTAAGGCTTTAACTAAAATATGCGCATTGTCTTATTTTAAATACACAGTAGTGGTTGCATAGCGCATGAAGCAAGTATACAATGAAATTAGTAGCTCCATCTCTTGGTTCATGCCTAAAAGACTAAATTGAATATTTCTTTTGAGGCATTTCAAGGGTCAAGTGTAACGTTT